AAATTGGTTTATTACACCCTATAATACATTAATAAATGCATCCAAAAAGTAATTCCATTACCAGGAAATAATATATCAAATTACTATTTCATAATCGGAATAATTTCATAAAATAGAGCAGTTTCAGTAGTTAACCCTTCCCATCCCCTATTTCCCGATGTTGTAATCATATATCGACAATTTGGATCAATTACTAAAATCAATTGAATTATGGATCAAAATTCTTAATAATGAGTTAAACTCGCACACACATATATATAGATCAAAAGGATACAGATTTGTGATATGGTTCCGCCGTGATGCCCTGGAACGATAAGGAATGGAACAATCGATCTTGTAGCATCGGATTCATCATTGCTGACATTCCATAGTCTTATATTATCTGTTGATGCGCTGTGATAATATTTACAAAAAATATGTATATCGTTATGTAATAAGATATAACATAATCAGCGTGAAAAAAGAAACTCATACCATACGATATGTCTACCGTTGGGCATGCTAGCCACACAAGACACTGGACCTGAATTACTTGGCATTTTAAATGAACGAATATGTTTTCCTGAAGCAAAATCCCATTCATCCACTAGCCATGAATTCCACTATAATGTTAATATGATTACTTTCCGTAGAAAAAAAATAATGAGAATAAAATAAAGGGTAAAAACTCACCGGTTCCATTACGTCGCCCACAGTAAACTTTATTGCCATCGGCACTCCAACAAGCCTATGATATTATCAAGTTTTTTTTGTTTTTAGTTGCCAAATTAACTGAGGAAACAAGTCTTATATGATATTAGGACAAATAAACGTACTGATAAACACCATGGTGGCGTTTTTTCCGGAAGTGGTAACTTCCTCGGTATCAAATTTCCTGACCTTTTATCCCATACAAGACAATTTCCGTCGATGCTCGTAGTAAGTAGTATGTCAGCAGAATGAATTATCGTATTATCCGATTCTTCGAACACTGTTTCAAGTGATGTGGGAGAACTTTGTATTGATGTTTGAGATGATGATGATGATTGTGTAATCGGTCGAAATGCTATTGAACTAATTTGGGAACTATGACCAGAATACTCTCGCACAACTTGGCCAGTGTTGAGATCCCAATGCTATAATTGGTATAGTTTGCATAAGTGTGCTCGTTGAAAAATAAATAATATAAAAGACATACCAGTACTGATTTATCCCATGAACCACTCACAAAACCCATCTCATCATTAGTTATCTTTAAAACTGATACGGGCGATTTATGTTGTCGCATGACATGATGACACCTTCCTTCTTCGTGTCTAACGGTAAATAAATTGATAGCGCCGCTCTAAAATCATACGTTGAATTAAACTTTAATCTAACGTCACAATCAAACGTTCGTGTTACAGTTCACCAAGGTTTATAACTAACGACTTGGCCATAAACAAGGATTTGCCATGAAATTCTAACAACTCATAAATCACTTAACAGGCTATTGAATCTCATTTTATTAAGTCATATTATAAAAATAAATTGTAAAGTCAAAATACTAAATTATCTGGATTCCAAAATTTTTTTCAATCTCATTTGTTGAGTTTATGAGTTGTCGGAATTTAAAATATCTCTAAACAACTTCATTGACTGTCCTGAAGCGTACCTCTAAACCACTTAATAACCAAACAGCTTCAGATTGTACTGCTAAGCTATGAGCAGGTGACATTTTTAAATCTGGCAATGGTGGTTCCTGTACATTTTGCGTGGCATCATCTTCTGCTATCCCGTCAGGTTTTTCTACAATTACGATTTTTGATATAAGTAGGTAAATATTACTATCAAGACACATCTATGGCATACCAGGTTTGTCTGTGGCTGGTAAAGATATCGGTATTTCCTCATTCTCCCAATATGATAATATTACACCTGCCTATATATAAACATAAAAGTTCAGTGGATATCATAATTTAAAACACACCGTTAAGTTAGTAACTCCTGTACAAACGATCTCTTTTTTTTTTTTTTACCTACCGCACCTTTTGAACAGATTCAACTTGTGTATGTTTTTGATTTTGTGTTAGCAATGTTTTACCACCCATTGAAGAAAAAAAATCGTATTTTCTTATAAATCCATCCTCGCCACCAGTAAAAACCCATCGCATGTTTTTTGTTGCATCCAGTGAATGGATGTGGCACGCATGAATGGCAGCGACCTGCATGTAATTAAATTTAAGACAAGAAATAAAAAAAAAATGCACCAGCTGTAAAACAACTTACTAATGGAACTATGTCATAGGTTTTACAATCTTCCGCAAATGGTTTTCGATTTGGTTGTAGAATAGACGGTGTATTACTATTAAATGGTTGTAAAGTCTCGTCGAGGCCATATTCCTCTAAAGTACAATGCCATATAATAAGTGTATAGAAATCAAGGGAGAAAATCATTTTGAGAGTACCTTCTGAAAAGGGACTAGGATCGCCCCCTTCAGCATCTGAACTTTGTTGAGAATCTCTAGAGTCTATTTCATCGTCGCTATCCATTTCGGAATTGAATTTTCGATTTCAATCAAGCGATCTTAGTTTAAACTGAGCTCCGGTGTAACTGTTACGTAATCGTATAATCGTGGCTAATCACGTGCTTAAGATTAAGATACACTTGAAGCTCTCACCTTGTCTTACAACATATTCGCTTAATCCCTCTTAATATCAGTTTTCACACTACACTTTACCAACCGAAGTTATAAGTAATTAACCACACAATGTTATTTTTTTTACAGGGGATCACCAAATTTCCGGGCGGATCCATCGGATTTATGCCGGCATTTTAGCAATACATTTCTGGGCCAAAATTATCAGCTGGGCAGCTTTATTTAATAAGTGAGCCATGACTTCATTTAGTGATCTTGGGCAAAATTTGATAATTCCGGTCCTGCCGATCATTATTCCGAGGTATTCCGACCCGGAATTTCCTGTATGAGTTCACAAAGTTGAAAGTTTTCAGAACACATTATAAAGGTACTAATGTGTATGCAACTGTGTAGAACAAAATTAAAGATCTGCAAAGTGATACAAAAGCGCTTCAAGTCAGAATCCTCTGATTTTTAGTATCTAAAATTCAAAACCAATCAAATTGCATAATTTTTAAAAATCCGTCGCTTTAATACTATATACTAGAAAACGAAAGACAACCCAATATAAAAAACTTACAAAATAATAAATATACACAAATTATTTTATCTCATATATTTAGAGAGTAGAAAGATATACGTAAAGTAGAAATACGATATTTATTATTAATAAACTCGAGCTTCTCAGAAAATTTACATAATACTGGTACATAAACTAAATTTACAGTTAAACAGATCCAATGCAAAACCGATCATATCTAAACCCGGATCTCTTGCTATTAAAAGCCTGCACTTATTCAAAATAAACAGTTAGTAATAAAAGTTTATTTGAATATAACATAATAATCGGTTTAAGCAAAAAAAAAAATTTCAATTACAGTATAACTTTGTACGGTCCAATAGGTGACATTATATTTTGTCTTCTAAGCAAAGTTCACGAGGAGTAAGATTCTTTTGTATAGTGAATATTAGCATTCGTTCAAAGCTTTTGTGGTGATTTTTTATCAGTGAAACGTTCAGTTCTAAAAAAGTACTGTATAACATATAAATAAGTTACCCGGGCAATTGATTTACACCAGCAACTTCTTCTTTTGAGATTCTACTAGATCCCAAACTAGCTGAGACCAGTTAGTAAAAAAATTAAGTTTTATACGATTTCGGAAATCGTATCGGGCGTTACGTTTGTCCCCCACTGTACGTATAACTGATAACTTAACCGGATTGACCGAAAAATCATTTGGTCAATTTTTTCGTGTTCCAGGAACTAGCTGTAATTAAGAGATCCCCTAGTTAAGATTAATAAAATGTAAAGACCCAAAGTCTATTGACCTGCCGGGTATAATACAGGCTTTCAATTGGTAGAATGTATACCTGAGTCGTTTATACGTATGGCGATTAACGGTACGTATCATTCTACAGTAACTCAAGTTTCCAGAAGTTATTTTCCGAAAGAACATAATCCTGATAAAGTTAGCTGACGTTAACTATAATGCAGGCTGGCAATAATCTTTTAATACTAGAAACGGAAAATATTCAAATCTATTCAATTCTCTAAATGAGAAAGTTTTATGATAACTTAGCGTCGATATAAATTACATCACCGACACACTATAAATTGCAAATGCTGAAATGAATAAAATGAACAAAATCGAGGAATTGGCCAGACAAACAAAGATCTATAGAGTGAATAAATGGACAAACATTCATTTACTGACTATTTTTAAAGGAAACGTCCAAGAGTTCAAAAAACAGTCGCTATAATGATTATAATCAACATTCGAATGTTGAGGTTGAAGATACAGTCAGACCTCCCTAAGTGCACTCGGATTCTGGCTCAAATATAAATTGGACCTTTATAAATGCACTTTTGCTTATTATTTTCTAAATGCATGTTATGTAAAGTGTGGTCCCAAAGGCGTGCATTTAGAGAGGTCTGGCTGTAACTGGAATTTAAATAATTTAAATGAAACCTTCCAAAAAGAACAACAATTTATACATTTGGCCAAAGGTCAATTTTCAAACGTGCAAACGAAATTAAAATCCTTTCATGACAATGAATATCATCATAATTTGACTAAAGTGAATGCTATTGAGCAAATGATATCTCTACATCTATCATTGATCGTCTGGTACAATACTTTCCTGCTGCGTCTATATTTGCATAATATAATTTCCATAAATAAATTAATAAATATTTGTTTTCACATGTTAAATCATGATCTGGTTAATAAATATTTGCTATCAAACAACTGATAAACCCGTAACTAACCGACAAGTGTCTCGTTAAAATTCTTTCGTTTAAACTGTTGGTAATATACACCAATACAAGGCGGGATCTATCCTTTTCAAGTCACGACGACTTTGTTACTTTAACATACTTTGAACCTTATTGAATATCCACAAATGTTTATCATCAACTGGTTTTTTGATGTGTTAGCATCGTTAGGTAAGTTTAAGATTGAAATTAATAAAGTTTTTTTGGTGAAAAGTTTAATTCTTAAGATACTAACGATCTACTTGTTATAGGTCTCGTTAACAAAAATGCGAAAATTTTATTTCTGGGATTAGACAATGCGGGAAAGACTACCTTGCTACACATGTTAAAGAATGATCGTCTTGCGACCTTGCAACCGACATTACATCCTAGTAAGCAAATCGTTTAGGTGGAGATCCATTCAACGTCGATATTCTTATCCAGTTCTCTTGGTTAACATAGTATTTCATTTTTAACAAACCAGCCTCGGAGGAGCTATCTATAGGAAATGTTCGTTTCACAACTTATGATCTTGGTGGACATCGACAAGGTATTTTAGATTTCTTTTTTTTTTTCTTTTTTTTCTTCATTCTTTCATTTAGCGTGAACAAGGATGATATTTTTGTGAAATTAAAACTAGGGTTGTTAAATGGAATAGTTTACTCTGGGTTGAAGATTGGATCAACCCATTAACAACCCTAATTAAAATTGATCAAACTCAATGCGTACTGCAAATTGTTTACCTTGGCTAAATAATATATGTATGTACGTATACATTGTGTTATCATTTACTTAGCTCGACGTCTCTGGAAAGATTATTTCCCAGAAGTATCTGGTATTGTTTTCATGGTTGACGCTCAAGATCGTGACCGATTTGGAGAGAGCAAAACAGAATTAGATGTAATATATCTCTACACATATGTTATTGATTTATTCGTTCTGCTCCATTAAAAATTATTGAACTTTTCCCTAAAATTTTTTTTCTTAAATCTATAGGCACTTCTCTCAATTGAAGAACTTTCAAAGGTGCCTTTCTTAATCTTGGGAAATAAAATTGATGCCCCAGGTGCAGTATCCGAAGATGAACTGAGACATGCACTTGGACTGTATCAAACAACTGGCAAGGTTTGTTAATTTTTGTTATTTATAACGGCTTGCTTTTTTAGAATCAATAATTATCTAATTCAATCTTTTGTAATTTAGGGCAGGGTTATGTCAAGAGACATTCGCCCAATCGAAGTTTTTATGTGTTCTGTCGTTATGAGGCAAGGATACGGTGATGGTGAGTCAAAATTCTCTTAATATTCGTAAATAGAATTTTATGCAATTAACTTATTTTTAAATTTTTATAGGTTTCCGTTGGATATCTCAGTATATGTAAAATTAGCTCGCATATCACTATGCTCACGTTTAATATAAATTCAATCACAGAAATAATGCAACAAAATATTATGTATTTATGATATAAAAAATGGCATGATTAGCACTTATACATTTTAATTTTCCTATATGAATTGATAAGCATGTTAATAGTTTTACGAAAATAAATAATATTTTATTGCGTTAATTTTGTTCCCTTCTTGTATCTATTAAATTAATAAATAATGCTCATCCCACAACCAGTTAATTGTGCCATAACTGTCATTCGGTTAATTTCTTACACTTTTGACTTGGTAAATTTCATTTCCTAATAATTTGATATGGATTTGTATGCTGTATTAGTTAACTTTGGGTTATAGATATGAGGTTTTTTTACGTTCTACATTAATCTTTTTTGGAATTTGTGGTTACGCATTTCAAATGATGCAAAAAATTAGTCTCCTAATTGCCAAATACTATAAAACGATAATGATTAGCCAAACTAGTTAGCATTATGCTATATTAATGTTATTTAAATACGTACTAGAAATCAAGATCATATATTAGTTTTACCTAAGAATGTAAATCTTATCTGGTATTAAATTACCCAGGTCATCAGTATTGCCATATAATAATAGTTGCTATCCGGGTACAGTTCTTAGTTTTGATCCATCAAATTAGAATTGACCCGGGTTTACATATTTATCGTATTTTGTACTCTAAAAAATTCCTTATATATTGCTAAATTTGTAAACTCCGGGTCTAACCTTAAACGTTCTCCTGGTGTACCATACAGTGCTGCATACCAGTGTTGGTTTAGAGGTCATAAGGTCCTAACTTATAATTAGCCAATAGGTGCATATAGTTACCTTTGAAAAAAACCATCTCCTTTAAATAAATTAATATTGTGGTATACACCAATTATAGTTTCTAATATTGTTAAAGATTCCCGGTATTAATCAGGTAGACAATCAAATTAAGCATTTATTTATGTATATATCGTAGTAGGCTTTAGTTCTAATTGGCCAATTATATAATATTTCTATATTACATGACAGGTATGCCTTTCAGTACAGGAACTAAGACTAAAATTCTGTGATAGATGTGCTGTTTTTTCATCACGTTCTTTGTAATCCTATGATAAAAATATCTATTTTTTTGTGCTATTATGCGATAATTTAGTACGTATCGAATAATTATCAAAAAATTATACACTTTCTTAAAAATCCTAAAATTATAAGTAAAAATAAAAAACAACAAAATTTTAGATAAATAAAATAATTAAATAGACAAATGTAATTACAACACATAAGAACAGCACATTATAGATTAATATAAGTCAAAATAAAACATAGAAAAGAAACAACATTGACAACAAACAAAACACCAAAATAACAGGCTCTTGAGTCAACTTGTAACTTTATATTGTAATATGGTTGCTTAACCTAACTAGATTCTAAATATTTGTTTAATAAATATGTCGTTACTAGTTAAATCAAGCAAGAATATTACTTGACTTAA